CACTTCCTCTTGTATGTACTTTTGTATAACTCTGAGGGTCTCCTTCCGTTTCCATGCATTTTCCCTTCTCTCTCCCTTTCCCTCCCACCTCTCATCCCTGTTTAATGTTAATCTTCTTCTCATGCTCTTCGACCCTACTCTGTTCTTAGTTACTCTCCTTATATCAAAGAAGACATTTGGCATTTGTTTTTTAGGGATTGGCTAGCTTCACTTAGCATAATCTGCTCTAATGCCATCCATTTCCCTGTAAATTCTATGATTTTGTCATTTTTTAATGCAGAGTAATACTCCATTGTGTATAAATGCCACATTTTTTTTATCCATTCATCCATTGAAGGGCATCTAGGTTGGTTCCACAGTCTAGCTATTGTGAATTGTGCTGCTATGAACATCGATGTAGCAGTGTCCCTGTAGCATGCTCTTTTTAGGTCTTTAGGGAATAGACCAAGAAGGGGAATAGCTGGGTCAAATGGTGGCTCCATTCCCAGCTTTCCAAGAAATCTCCATACTGCTTTCCAAATTGGCTGCACCAATCTGCAGTCCCACCAGCAATGTACAAGTGTACCCTTTTCCCCACATCCTCGCCAGCACTTGTTGTTGTTTGACTTCATAATGGCTGCCAATCTAACTGGAGTGAGATGGTATCTTAGGGTGGTTTTGATTTGCATTTCTCTGACTGCTAGAGATGGTGAGCATTTTTTCATGTACTTGTTGATTGATTGTATGTCCTCCTCTGAGAAGTGTCTGTTCAGGTCCTTGGCCCATTTGTTGATTGGGTTGTTTGTTCTCTTATTGTCTAATTTTTTGAGTTCTTTGTATACTCTGGATATTAGGGCTCTATCTGAAGTGTGAGGAGTAAAGATTTGTTCCCAGGATGTAGGCTCTCTATTTACCTCTCTTATTGTATCTTTTGCTGAGAAAAAACTTTTTAGTTTGAGTAAGTCCCATTTGTTGATTCTAGTTATTAACTTTTGTGCTATGGGTGTCCTATTGAGGAATTTGGAGCCCGACCCCACAGTATGTAGATCGTAGCCAACTTTTTCTTCTATCAGACGGCGTGTCTCTGATTTGATATCAAGCTCCTTGATCCATTTTGAATTAACTTTTGTGCATGGCGAGAGAAAGGGATTCAGTTTCATTTTGTTGCATATGGATTTCCAGTTTTCCCAGCACCATTTGTTGAAGATGCTATCCTTCCTCCATTGCATGCTCAAAACTCACTCTTTTTTGTTTTAAGAGAGAGGGAGAGAGAGAGAGAATTTTTAATATTTATTTTTTAGTTATCGGTGGACACAACATCTTTGTTTGTATGTGGTGCTGAGGATCGAACCCGGGCCGCACGCAGCAGGCGAGCGCGCTACCACTTGAGCCACATCCCCAGCCCCCCTCAAAAAACTCACTCTTTTTAAAATGTCCTTCTCCACTAACTAACTTTCATTTTCCCTTTTGACTAGATTTGCTTTGAAATCTCATTCTGAAATCCTAAGTCAACTTAAAACTCACATAGCCTTTTCTCTTTCTCCCCCCTTCCTCCATTCCAACTTCCCCTTTGCAAAAGCGGTGTTTTCCCTTTCCACTGTAGTCTTGACTAAACTGATCTCCTCTTTGCAAACCTTTGCTCTTTGCTTCCTTACGCTGAGCACCTTAAACCCAGGAACCAAGATGGCAAACTCAGCATCTCCCTGAGAAAATGGAATATCCATGAGACAGAGGTGGAATGTCCAAAGATAAAATGTGTTTGAAAGACAGGGAATGTGTTTGAGTGAAGAACAGAGATAATTGGAAATACCACACTTACAATTGGATGATTCAATGCTATTTAATGCTTTCTATCTATAGGCATGTATATGATATATACAATCTATTTGTACTGTAGAGATACTATGCAATATAGAGATACATGTTATATATCTATAGTACAAATAGATTCTATATATACTATATATATATATATATATATATAGAGAGAGAGAGAGAGAGAGAGAGAGAGAATATAGAGTTTGGATCGTTTTATTTTTTCTAAGCAAATAACTCTGATAGTCCTGTTTTGAATTCCACAAAGAATCCCAAGATCTCATAATACTATCAGTTATTGATGGCATTATCGGTGCCAGGCACTCTGCTAAGCAATATGCATACCTTTGTTTTATCAAATGTTATAGCAGCCCTGCAAGGTAGGCATTGCTTTTCCTCATTTACTGATGAGAAAACTGAGGATCAAAGAGGTTAAGGAACATGTCCAGGGCTACACACCAGTTCAGTGGATAAAGAACGGACTTGAGCCCAGGCGAGACGCCGGAGCCTGTGATTTTTTCACCCCGTCTCCCCTTTTGAAATCACAGGCTGCCATTCAAGCAGAATTTGATGCTACTCGTCACTGAGTGTAGTAGATAGAGGGGATGTGCCCTGCTGGAAAGATAATATTCACTTTTAAAGAAAAATTCACTTTTAAACAAAAGTCTACCAAATGTCACCATGATCATGATATCCATAACTATAATGAATAATCAAATAGAAGGGAGATCAGAAGAGTAGAACAAGAGGAACCAGGGAGGGAGGAGGGAAGATCCTGGGGAATGAGACTGATCAAATTTGCCCTTGAAAGATTGTTCTGTGGTTAGTGATACTGAAGCCTTGTGACCGATAGGGTACAAATTTGATCAAATTACTTGCATGTATAAATATAGTGTAATGAACCCCATTGTTTTGTATAATCCCAATGTACCAATAAAAATAAATAAATTAAAAGAGAAGAGTGTTCCAATCCTAGATTGTTACCAGCTTCCTGTAAAACCTTGCCACCACTCAACTCCTCTCAGTCTTCTTTCTCTGCGTGTATGACAGAAATGAAAATGTACTGCACGATACTTTTCCGAACTGTTCTGGAAATAAAAATGACACAGGCTACGAAAGTATGATTAAAGTATAAAGTGGATGGGAAATATCTTTAGCCCAACTCACAAACTAGCACTTCCTTTTCTAAGTTTTACAGTTACGACTTCAACAGAGAAGGACCCAGGAGCAGCTGGCTAACCAAGGCCTCATACCACGTGAGTACCCACAGCTCTTACTTATTTCTATGTCCATCAGACCTTGCCATTTCGCAGCTGGAAAGCACCTCAGAGGTCATTTAATGTAAGCCAATGAATTGATCACCCGAGAGCCTTATAGAAACTGTGTCAGCAGAAATCTAGGTGTGGGATGCCTTGCCCCACATGCCACTCACCCACAAGGGGCTCCCTTTAACCGTACAGATTGTGCCTAAAATTCCAACATGAGTTTCTTCTTAGGTAAACAATTCACTATGGTCATCCTCACTCCTTTCCTACTTTTAATATTGGGCATTATAAATATTCTTTCCAGAAGGGTCAGTCCCATAATGTTTATTCTCACCCCTTATTTTAGTTCTGGAATATTTGAGTCTACCATTAATTGGGTATGGTCAATTATTTTCCTTTCTGGAAGACTGAGTAGCAATACCGGTCTAGCTCAAAGGACCATCAAATTACTTAATTATTAATTAATATGTATTGATTAATATTGAATTATTGGCCATATTTCTGGATCAAAGAAGAAAGATTTTCATATCATTTTGAAAGATACATTTGAAATGTTCTATCAATCTAGCTACTAAAGCTAATCCTTGGTTAACTTTGGAAACTGGGAGAAGAATGCCCCAGATGAATGGAATCACAGGATTCCAGTCACGGATGAATGGAATCACCTTCAAAGTGCTCTGATCATACTAACTTCCTCCCCAATACAATTTAAAGATTAAGATTCATAACACTTGGAGAAATTCAGTTCCCTCTATAATACTAACATGACTATTCAGCATTTTGTAAGGAACAAACTTGCCCTTGAAAGATTGTCCTGTGGTTAGTGATCCTGAAGTCTTGTGAAGTTTACTCTGTGCTTCAGAGCCAGAGTAGCACTAAAAATTCAACAGTCGGTGACCTTCCAACAGAGCCACATTTTTAGTGGTCTGCTGGAAACAGCTCCCCTGTGAATTCAAGGTTGTTTCAGCAACAGTTACAGCAGCAAAAAGTAACCAAAGAAAGCAAATCCATGTGTGGTCTATTTCATCTTGGTCAGCCCTCTTGTGGAGGTGCTAAAGACAGAGGGAAACCAAGGACCTGCAGACAGACCTCCGGTCAGGTAAATATAGTTTCACTCAAAGCTGATAATCTCTGTCTTCACTGATGTTCCTTTCCTCTTAATTCTGGAGAGGCGAATGAAGCAGCTAAGTTGTTCACAAATTATTTAAAAAATTTCAACCCATGTGCTTGAATACTCTGAGCCTGGGTCTTGCTGGGATGAGAATAAACATTGAGTTTTGTTGTTGTTGTTGTTGTGTTGTTTTGGTTTTGAGGTTAAATCTGGGAATCCATAGAAACAACCAAGATTAACAGGAATTAACCCTACAATGTATTTTTAAATAACACTTCTCAAGTCAGTTGTGGAAATCAAGCATCTGTTTGTGTAGTTGAGTCCAATGTGGATGCAAATTCTGTTCTCCAGGATTTCCATAATCAAAGAGTATAGACATTAGCAAAATGCTACTTAACAGAAATTCTTCATCCATAGTCCATTTCATCATGAAGATAATTTCTGAGGTGGAGGGGAACAGTTCTGCAAAAAAAAAAATTTTTTTTAAATTAATCCAACCAAATGCTAAAGGTTATCCATAGTTTCCGATCGCCTCTTCTCAACCAGCCTTCTAAGGGTGTAGAGTCTGTCAGATGGGTCAAGGGTATGGATTCTGCTCTGGAAAAGTGTGCAAGCCAGATCTGGCACACATGGCAAGCTCTGCCTGAGCTGACCTTTTCTACTTAGTTCTACTCAGCAAGCTCAAGTCAGATGAGGCTCTTCACTTGCCCATGGGTAGCTTCTTCAGTCCGATCTGAGATTAAACATGCCATGCGCACGCAAGGCAGAGCCGTGGAGTTCATGGGTAAATGCAAGCAATCAGGGGAAGGAAAGAGTGACAGAGTCTCAGGGTCGTTTCACTTCAATCTAAGGCCACAAATTTTAGTATAAACCAGGCGAGGTGCAGGGTCCTGAAGCAGGTACCAGAGGGGCAATGATCCTGAGCAACGTGATCCTCCAGAGAAGTTCAGGATGTTAGGAGTTACGATGACAAGGAACACACAAGTGTAATTCAATGTGGAGCTCACTAAGCTCCACAGAGGGCTATTTTTATTTCTTTATCCTATTATATGAATTTTTTGAAACAAAGGAGAAAGGATAGAAGAAAAAGTAATGGTCCTCAAAAATCTTTTGTCTAAGATTTTTAATTTTTTATTTATTAAAATAATATATACACATATGCACATATGTGTGTGTGTGTACACGCATAATGGCTGAGACAGTGGTGGGGCCCCTGCCTCCTTTCCTGGGCCTCTTTTTATTCCTTCCAGAAGCCCCATGAGAATCCTCACACAATTGCTGGTTCTGTTCAGAATAGAAGTTGAAAAACACTAACCTAGTCAAATCCTTATTTGTCTTTAATGTTCATGAAATTGAGGTTGAGGATACCCAAGAGAATTTTCCAGCTGTCTCAAAGGCAGGTCCAATGTGATCCCATTTTCTGTAGTTTTTAATTTATGAGAATTTAAATGCATGCAAAATAAGATTTTTCATAAGATCTCACTTTGCTCATGAAATTTGAAATAATTCCAATCCTCCCTTAAATTTTTAAAACTTATCATAAATTTCCTAAATCCAAAACGAAGAGCCAAGTGAATTGACTATTCTTAGACCGCTAACACACAGCAGTGCTCTTGAGCTGGTCAGCAGAAACACCGGCCATCCTTGGGTAGAATTGGTCTCACATTTTACATCAGGTTAAATCTTCAGAGTTTGTCCTTTGCAAAAAAACAAACAAAAAATGCAGCCCCCTTGTAATGCATCAGAGAAAAGGCCAGAATCTGGGTCTCCCAATCCCCATGTAAGCCTATTTTCTCAAAGTTCAGAAGGAATCACTTGACTCTTAAAAGCACTTACTTACATTTTTGTCATAAAAAAAAAATTCAGTTGGAATTTGACAAATTAAAAACAAGGTGTGCATATGCCAAGGATAAGCCCATGATTTTAATGAAATGGCGTCAGGTTCTACAGGATTATCTATGCTTTGCTATGACCAACATCCAATGAAAAACTCCACTGACTTAGTTCTGTGGCAGATCTCACTTGAGTTGCACTCGGAGATGCTGATTCAATTTTAAGATTTCTCTCCCACTTACTCTACAGAGCTAAACCACGTATATTTCCTAGTCAATGGGTGCAACTGGTCCAGCAGGGTTGAAATTCTCCTCTTTCCCTCTTCCTAGCTATGCATCCTGCAGATTTTAAGGTTGCTGATCAGTAAAAAAGCAGTCCCCCAGCCCCCAGCCACAAATCATGTTTTATAATCCCCTATTACTTCTCTTAAGTAATCACTTTGTTCTTGTTGGTATGAGTTATGAGTTTAGGATTTCCCCTCTTCAAGTGCTTTGAATGAACTTAAAGGCATCATCTCTTGACTAAAAGTCAAGAGGGACAGGGTTCTAAGGTCACTGTAGAACCCCTCGAACAACTTTGAGCAGTAAGAATAGGATTCTTGGGTCAGAAGTGTGGGTCTCAGCCATATCCTCAGATTGCTCTCACATTTGTAATACCAGCTGTGCTGTTTAGTTTTTTAAATAGTCATGATATCTTGGCGAAATACCTTCTCAAAGTGAACTTAGAAATATTACTTTAAAGATTTATCATTTGGATTTCTTTCCAAAACCTCACCTCTGAATCTCAAAATGGAGATTTTGAATTGCCTAATTTCCCACGGTTATTAGAACTCAAAGGAAATGACTTCATTGTCCCTCCCTACCAGGTTTCAGGCTGCAAGAGGGCCTCAAAGCCCTGTACCTTCTCATGGTTCTAGGACAAAGCTAACTTCTCTCCCCTTGTAGTTCTCTGGTGCATATTTTTTTTCCCTACAATTCTTTACCCTGAGCATCACTCTACTGGGTAGAATCCTCAGTGACACGTTTCATTCCAATCTATTCCAAAGCCTTAGTGTAGAAGGTCAACCAGTCCCATGATTACACTCTATAAAATGGCCACAGAGCAATTCAGGAAATATTTAATAGCCATCTGCTATGTGAAAGGCTCTGGGGAACACTCACCCAGAGGAATCAGACACATTTCTGTGTCTAGAAGGGGCCCCAAGCACTCCTGTTTAATTGTCCCCTGTAACAATTTTGAACAACTTTATGTCCATACGGGAGAGTGGTCATAGGAGGATTGAAAGAAAGAAAATATCATACATTTTCCTCTCCCTCTCTGCAACTAAAGAGAGTCTAATGGGGTTGAACCCAAGGGAAACAGGAAGAAAAGCTTGAAAACAGAAGATGAGAGTAGAGGAAGTAAAACAGATGCCAGAGGACGTACATCCCAGACAGGGTGCTATCTGTCCCTAGAGTGTCAGAGAAAGCTGTCACTGACATGAATGAATTGTCTGGGCAGCTTGATTCCATGATCTGATCAATGTCAATGAATTTCAAGATACAATGAGCTGTCTATGAATGGTGCTGCCTTTATTTTTTTTGCAGACTAATCCAAGCTACAGCAGCCACATACTTACTGCAAAGCCTTGGTAAATCCCCGAATTCTGTGACCTTCCTGGTAGCAAGAAGAATGACCGGGGCAATCCCTCCTCCCGCGCCCCATGCAGCTTCACCATAGTTTTGAGAAGTGGACTGGACAAAGTCTCTCTTCCTTTTCTCAGTGCATTCATTTGACTTGGCTTCTCCCCACAGCACCCTACCACACACTGTTGGCTGTCTGAGCAGAACACGGCACGAGGGGATTAATCTGTCTGCCTCTTCCCTTCTTTCTAACATCTCAACTTCAGAGACAGGAAAGGTGCCCTGGATTTTCATGGCAATCCCATTTGGGTCAACAATCCCACCTCCCACCCCCATGTCTCTATTCCCTGATCCCTAGAAACTACAAAACCAGTCATTGCAGACACATTTTGAATTCGTCTTTGTATCCTTTTTCGGAAAAATTCCAAAGTATTCACGCATGTTGCATCAAATTCCACAACTGTACAAGCCAGGTCTTAAATATTACAAAGCTACATTAGAAAAATGCACTGTTTCCAGACCCCTAAGAGTATAATTTGGGTACCGAATAAGCAATTTATCACCAACCTAAAAAGAGAATATAATTTCCAAAGTGTTATCACTTGTGTATAGCATATATCCAAATTGCTAAAAAAGAAAGTACTCATGATCCAGTCTGTCTTTAAAAGGAAAGCAGAGAGCAAATAAGCATTACTTAGTTTGTTTTATAAGTGGGAAACAGCACAGGAAGCTAATTGGACTAGTTCAAGGTTATACCAAGAATAGATAAGAAAAGGACAGAGATCAAATAGAGGGTTCCCAAATCTGATGGCACCCAGAACTTCTTTAATTATACACCTAAACTGCCATAGGTATTATGTACGAAATAGTTGTGTCTTTCCTCAAAAACCCCACATACATTAATTATTAATCCATATGTTTGCTTTTATTTGTTAACAGCATATACATTTATCATCCAATGCTTTTTGATGAAAACAACCATTTCCAAGCTATATTTCTATGATTCCAGACAGAGGCAATGAAAAAATGACAATTTGGTTAGCCGAGCATCCTTTCTCCGGATAGACATACCCTTTTCCTTCAACCTTTTGAAATACTGAAAATCAATCCTAGCAATCTATCGCTCCTTTTTTGAACTCAGATTCCCAAGGACCCTAGATCAGGACCCACTGGCCTTACAAACTCCATAGCAATGTTTCTTAAACCTGTGCATTAAAATCACCTGGAGGACCGGATCAACAGATCCCTAGGTCCCATCCTCCCCCATCTCTGATGCTGTAGTTCTGACCTGGAGCTCAAGAATTGGACTTTCTAGCAGGTTCCAAGTTGATGCTGAGGATATAACCCAGGAGCCACACTTTGGGAAACATGGCTTTAGTTGTTGGGGCTCTTTGATTCTGTCCCTGGGTTCTTATCCTTTGTACCCATGAAGCTGAGTTCTCCCTGAGCCTGGTAGTGAGAGGTTCCCTTGAGAGAAGTCCAGCTCTGCCACAACACTCCCTGTGGTGCCAGAGCTGCAGTCCAACACCACATCCTGCCCAGTTCAGACGAGTCAGGCCTCTGCCTTCGATAAGTTCTCGGAGGCCTATTTTCTCCATTGTCTGGAATCTTGCTGGAAGTGAGAGGTTTGACTGGTGCAAAGAGGACTGCAAGAGGCTCGTTCTTATCTCCGGATCATTTTTCTGAGTTCTAAGTAAGCAAATGTTTATACACACAGCTGACCCAAATTAGCTGGAGCTTCAGGGACCGAAATAGGAATAGCCGGCAACCAAACTCTAAGGCGAGAACATGAATTCCCCTGTGAGAAGCGATTAATCTTCCTCCAGGGGGAACGCGTCAGATGTGTGGCTGACTGGATTTATAACCATATTTTAATTCAAAATCACATGGACTTATTTTTTTAATTTAGGAATCCAAATTCCTTTTCGATCTTAAATGTCAATGTCCTTTAAATACAAAATTTTGCCATTTGATACTCTCGGGGTTGGCAGCAAAAGTGGTCCTTTGTGTATTTTCCAAAAAAAAAAAAAAAAATCAACCAGGGTGGAGGGGGGATGCATTATGATTTTTGTGGGCCCGCAGGGGAGATGGCTAAAGCCCACATTCTCTGGAGTCACAGAGAAGGCAAAACTCAACCCCGGGGCCATTGTAGGGGAATTTTTCATGGGGCCCAGTACCCCTCTTAAGTTTAAGGGCTGAACTCACCCCCACCCCACCCCCAGCTGTGAGGAGAAGAACATTTGGTAAAAGCAATGTAAGTATCTCTTTTGTATTCTTCCCAAGACCTTGCTAAATGGACGTAGCTTCCCATCCTATAGAAGATTCTAGAAGAACTTTGTGCTCCTGGCATCAGAAAACTGGACCCTATGAATCATTTCGCAGTGGAGTTATTAGCATCAAAGAAGTAACGCGTTTTTAGCTCTACAAAGCTAAGATACAGGAAATCCAGTGTTTCTTAGGAAAAAAAATTAATAAGCTCCACTAATGAGAATTGAAGAGTCAAGGGGATAAGAGAACCAGATAAATTCCTCCTACGTCCCAAGCTCAATTAGAAACAATTGTGCTTGGAATGTAAGAGACATGTCAAGATAAGTTCATACTGTTCTTTTGGGGGGGGGAGTTTCTTTAGGGAAAGGATGCTTTGTTCTTTTTGACCACTTCATAAAGATCAATTCTAAGATCACTTGAAAGTAATTAAGCCTCACCAATATGTAATACCTCATTAAATGACACCAGGTGATAGGACAGAGGTGAAGACCAACTGATGCAGGTTGCATAGGCTCACAGGTGCCCCACTGGACCTCAAGCAGACTTTCTGTGATCTGGTTGCTTTGAGGGAAAAGAGACTCACTCTTCAAGACACCCTCGCTACAAATTCCACCTGTTGTCAAATGCCAGAAAAAGGTCGGAGCCCAACCCCAGACCAAAGCAAAATGCCACAAGCCACAGAGTAGAGTTGCACATTTATTTCTCAAAGTCACTAACTGGGAAGAAATGTGGGCAAAGGATCATTTACATAGCAGCAGGTGTGACCGAGAAGCCCAATTTAAGAGTGAAAACAACATCTGGAAAATCAGTTTCCAGGTCAGTGAAAGATATGATGTTCAAACAAAATATTGGTTTTTTTGCTTAATCTCTGGTCCAAGTGAGAAGAGTGCCTGTCAACTCCACTGGGCACACTCCAGCCAGCTGGAAATATTTTACATGACTTTCTGCTCAACATTGTCAATATTGGAGTGAAGCAAGAAGATTAATTGACAGCATGACACTAACTTCCTAAACAGTGTTCCAAATAGAGAATAATAATATGTCCATCCACTGTTATGATGCCCACCATGACCATACGACATCTGCTTAATATCCAACAAGCCTTGCTGAAATCATGTGCAGATTTAGCATGGTCTTAAGGGCTGAAAGAGGCATGTATGCATGCATACACCACCCACACACATATACACATGCACACACATGCACACACACATGCACACATATGCATGCATACACACACTTATGACCCCAAGTGCTAATTTGGCCAGAAACCTAATTTTTATTCTGGCCAAGATTTAGAAGCATACTTCATGGCCTGAGTGGACATCCATTAGAGTGATCAGAGAACTCTGAATCATGGGAATCATCAATTTACCCATACTTAAAGTACAAAAAACATCAATGCAATGCCCTACTCTCTGAGCAACCTCATCATTTATAATGAAAAGTGATCGTAGCTCCCAATGAGATTGCTCCAGGGGACCCGAAAAACCAATACAAAATGCAGAATTTTGCTGAGGGTTGTTCTAGGACTCTGCTACATTCAAAGGGTTTAATGAATCATCACAAAAGAGAAATGGGGAGGAGGCAGAGGACAGAGTGAAGGTGGCACTTGGTCCTGGTGGTTTACAACTACCATGTGTTTTTATATGACTAACTAGCACTCTAGTGTCTACTAGTTGGTAATAGTGTGAATTTTCACACCCTGTAAAAGATTAGGGTTATCAGAGGACCTAGGCCCTAAGCCCTAACTTTGTGACCTGAGCAAGTCAATCCATATCTGTGGACCTCATTTTCCCCAAACCATGCAGGGTTGGAGATGGACTTCTCTATCTCCAAGGTCCCTTCCAAGTCTGATTCTCTGCTTCACACCCAATGCCTTGATTGCATGTCCATGACCAACCAGTCACTTGGTCCAAAGTACAGTCTCTTCCGACAATACACACCACACCCTCCCAGATCACAACTTGTCAACTCACTCTTTGGAATTCAAGGGCAGAACAAAGTCAGAGAAGGTATTAGTTACCTGTCTAACTCCTCCCTTAAACCAAGGTTACTTCTGGTGCCTCTGTCTCTTCAGGAGCTTGGAATGTCCTGCCTCCACTCCTCTTCTGTTGCACATTCTGCCTCTGCTGCTCTTCTTGACTTAGGCCTGAATTCCACCTTCCTCTGTCTCCTGTGGCTTCCGGGCAGCGGCCATCCTCCAGACATTTCTCTTGCTTGTGGCCTAATAATGGCGACCACTTCCAGACTCTGCCTAGCTCAGCAAGCACACCAGCAAACCCTGTGTCACTGACCAGTATCCCGAGGCCAGCCTTTGCTCATGTCTTTATCTTTCTGTTTCAGCACTGAAAAGTCCAACTGAATTCCATGAGCCAAGAAAAAATTTGGATAGTGACAAGGTAATTTTTTGCAAACTGTCTTTCGTGAACTTAAACCATAGGTTATAGATCTCTAAAGGCCAAAGTTTGGGCTGAAGCATATAGAATTTCTACAAAGAACTCCATCAGTTGGCCAGTTTCCTGCCCTGACACTATAAGAAATCTTTGTCCTGTGACTGTGGAAATGAGATCAACTAGGAGTTTTGCAACTGCTATTTTGTTATAAAGATGTCCTCAATCTTTCTAATGTTGAAAAGGATCACAGCAAGGATACATCAGAGGTCAAAAAGACTTTAGAAAGGGAAGTAAGGTTGATTTGCAAGCTTTTTTACCTTCTATTATGGTCCTTTCTTAGCAACAAAAAGATTTTTCTCAAATCCAATTCAATGATTAGATTTAAGTCAAGGTGTGAAAATACAGAATTTATCTGCAGCTACTTAAAGAAAGACAAAGGGAATTATATTTATTTTCCTTCCAGAGTTTTCTGGAGTTGGAGGTTTTTTTGTTTGGGGGGGGATTGTTTGGGGGTTTTTTTGTTTTTGTTTTGCATTTGAAGGGAGAAAAATTGACATATTCTGTCATACCTTCATAATAAATCTCTGCAACCTGAATTTATCAATGATACAAATACTATTTAGCAACCATCAGCACTTTGAGTGAGAAGGAAAGGCTGAGGGGGTATCTGTCTTTTTGCCTGAGAGTTTTAGCCTTGTGACTTATCAGTGGACACACAGGAAGAACAGGACTCTGCAATTCTTCAAAGTTGCTCATGAGTGGCTGTGATTCCCACTACCTGGAGAATAACAAAGAACACCAGACTGTCTTTTATCAGAACTGCAGAAACCCCCAGGCCCTTCTCAGGGACCCAAGAGGAGATCCCAATATAGTAAGATAAGAGCCTAGGGATCAGAGGCTTGGGATCCTCATTGGTCTTACCACAGCCTGTGTCATCCCCCGACAGCTTTACGATCCAGAAGACAAGGGGAAGCAGCAAATTAGCTGTCCCTAAATGCCTTCCAAAGTCTGAATCTACATTTCTCCATGTTTTAAGAGCTAAGTCACCAAAAAACTTGCAAAAAGGCCATAAGTTGTCATGATCGCAGATGGATTTACACAATGTTTCATCGCTGACCTTAGTTAATTTTGTGACCATTTCAACAGGCAATAGAACAGAATGGATTATAATAGAAGCAGCTCGATATCATCCATGGTTATATAAATATTTTATTAATGTGTAACCTATCTGATCCCTGACATGGGCCTAAGCTTTTGACCTCTCTATTATTTCCCTAAGGTAAAATTCCTGGAGGGGACTTTGGAAGTGTTTGTTTTTTTTTTTTTTTTTCCCATCCAAACATGGGAGACCAGGGATATTTGCATTTTTCCATTTGTCATTAAAAAGTACTTTTACTCTTTGAGCTTTTCAAGAATTAAAACTAAGTGATTCTCCTTGTTCATGTTCTACAGACTGAAGATTCCTTGAAACGCAAGGGCAGAAACAGATCCAACCGTGCCGACTTGGTTACTATGCACATACTCCAAGGTAAGGCTGCGTGAAATCAAACTTAAGAGACAGCCACTGAATGGTGGGCCATGCTTCCAGAATTCTTTGTCTTATGCAGTTGCTACCTGCAACTTCCTTACAGAGAGGTATACAAAGAGGTTTCAATTAGTAACTTTGTTATTCTAAGCCATGTAGAAAAATCAAGTGGGAAAGCCATATATATGGGTTAGGAAGATTTCATACTTAGTTTCCAATCTAAGCTGTGTCACTTTCTAACCCTAAAGGCCTGGACAAATCATATAGCACATAGGAACTATCCAATATGTGTTGACAATTTTTATTCATCTGAATCACTGTTCATTTGAGAAAATGAATGAAGCTCGCTAGTTGCTTCTGTATCTGCTAGGTAACTGTTTGATTCTCCTCTGCTGGGTACACAGGGAAATATAGTCTTAGAATACCAGTACTTGGGGATGGGAATATAGCTCAGCTGGTAGCGTGCTTGCCTTGCATGCACAAAGCCCTGCGTTCAATCCTCAGCAACACACACACACACAAAAACAAAAAAACAAAAAAAAACAGTGTTGATCAATGCAGGCCCAGTTCCACTTGAAGGTGCCACTATTATTTTGGGGAAGGTGAATCAGGGCAAACCAATAATTGCTCCCCATACTCTGACAGCTGGATAAGGGAAGAGAGGATTTGACTCCTGCTCCATGGATTGTCTTCCCTGGGATGGAAATCTCCTAGACCACTGGTGCCTAGCTTCAAAGAGCCTTCCTCTCACTTTGACAGTTTAGCTATCAAATATTTATTCCATAGGCAAAAGTATTGAATGTCTACTAGGTACCGGCTTGTCTGCCAGACCTTCTGGGTACAGAGATGAATTAGGCACAGGTTCCTGCCCTTCAAGGGCTCTCAGAGGATAGTAGAGAAAGTAGACATAAGACTCTGCTTTCACAGTCCAGCATGAAAAGAGAGAAAATGCACCGTGTTGTGGATGCACAGAAGAGAATAAGAGAGTCATCGGAACCAGAACGGATTCTGGGGAGGAGCAAGGAAATGAGTTGGCATGTGAAGGCTGGACCCAGTTAGCAAAGAGGAAAAGCATTGCCAACTGAGGGAACAGCATGCACGTTGCACCAGCCCTCCTTTGCTAGAATGCAGATTTGCTTACAAGACGGTAGCTAGTCTTGAAATATCGTGAAAGTTGTGAATCTTGGTTCTTCAATCGGCATCATGTCTGAATCATTCTGGCTTCCCAAGCCTGACCATTTTCCAACCCTGGACCAGGTGGAATATTATAAGATATAGAACTATTTTCAGAGTAGGAAAGAGAGAGAAAGATAATGTAAAACTCAAGGGAAGGGATCTGAGGGTTGCAGGGTTTTGGTCCTGAGGAGGCATCCAAAGGATACCAAGGTCTCTCAGGTGGAGGTGACAAAATTTTTTCCTCTTTGCAGTGACAACATTTTGTGTGTCATCACAAGACTTCAGCTGTACAAATAATCCAAGAAATGCCATTTCAAGGGAGATAATAGAATTTTCAATGATAAAGTTAGCAAATAAAAATCAACATTATTTGTAGCAAGTGTATGGGAAATACGTGCATTCTTTACACACGGATGGTGGGAGTATAATGAGATCAACATTTCTAGAAGATGTATCAAAGTCCTTGAAAATGTATCTACCCTTTGGCCTTATGATACAATGTCTAGTATTTTATTTAAAGAAAAAGATCAGACCTACAAAGATTTATATACAGTGATGTTATCATGGAATTACTTTAGATGGCAAAACAGTGAAAAGTCCAACAATAGGAAATTAGCCGAACAAATTGTGGATCATCTGTATGGTATGAATGAATTCCACATAGCCAACTCCAAGCAAGGGTTTCAAAGAATAACCACTTAATGAGAAAAGGCTTACAAGATGTTTAGCCAAAGAAGCAAAAAACAAAATTGTATTTATAGCTAAATTCTGGAAAGGAAAAATAAGTAAACTGCATTTAAAGTCAAAGTCTGAGTAAAAAAATATAAACCTAACAATAAATATAACTAACTAAGAAAAACACCCAAGTATTAAAAGTCATTAACTCTGAGTGAGGTGTTTCTGAGGCCACTTCTTTGGAATGCTTTTTGGGCATTATTTACATTTATGATAATGAGTAGGTAGTGATGCTATATCAAAAAGGCACAAGATATGTTATTTCTGAGGCTAGGGGTATAGCTTAGCACTAGAAGCCTTGCTTAGCATATGCAAGGTCCTGAGTTCAATCCCCAGCACACACATAAGCACACAAGAGTTATTCCCTGCATTATTATGGTTTTGAGTTAAAATATCAGACTGTGAGTAGTCCCTGGTTTATGTCACATGTCACAGGTGGTTCTCATGGAATTCTCTCTTCTCCCCAACAGAAATTGGGAATTAGTGTCCTGGAGCACCAAAGATTAGTTAGATGAAATATGGGTTCAGTCCTCCAAGAGTTTTATTATCTAAATTCAGAAGTAGCAATATAAGATGAGGGGCCAGTGCCTATAATTTCTAGAGGCAATAAAGCAAAGAACAGGAAAAAAATTATAAAAATTAGAACAGGAGAAATTAGTTAGGCTTTGATCATGGACCTAAAAGAGAAGCTCATGGTGAGGAGTAGAATAGAAGAATTTCAGGTTGGGGAGAGAAAGTAAGCAAAGGTACAGAGTGACTTTGTGAGACATGGGAGTATACAAAAGGGCCAAATCTCATTGGGGTGGTAGGTTTGGGATGGAGCGCACTGGTCAAGAAGAGAGGGGATTCGGTTTGTAGCAGACTTGGAAAACCAGTTTGAGAGACCCAGATGGAGAGGATCAGCTTCTGGAAGGATACAAGACAGGACTTGCTGAAAATTAGTACTGGGTGTATATGCAGAATGGATCAGAATATGCTGAACCAGGAAGTCTCACAAGGGGTGGTCTGGGGAAAAGTAAGGTTTAGTATCCTCATTCTTTGGTTTGTAGTACAGATGTTCCCTTTATGGCATATGCAGCTTCTAGACAAAGCTGATCTATTGCAACTGATTAGACCTTCCCAGACCTCTACTGTATGGAGAATTCTAGATCAGTCAGTGACACAAAGTTTAGATTAGTAGGGTGATACTGATAGAATAATGGAACTGGGAGGCTTGATCTCATCTTCTAAATTTGCAAAGTTGAGAGCAAAGCTGCAAACTCTTATTGAATCTGGACTTACATTTCCCCCTTTAAAGCAATAGGTTGTCTGGGTTATCCTTCAAAGTTCTTCCACAGAAATGAGTCAGCACCCACCCTAAAGAGGAAATCTGATGTCTTCCATATAGGGATGGATTTAGGGATCTGTTACATGACCTTTCTTAACCTACAAATGACGAGAAACTGCATGTTGGATAAATTCAATTTTTTAACACCCCTCTGATTAAATCATGGTTTCACAGGAAAATTTTTTTCTGTTATAACTGAACTGGACATTTGACTGTCAGTCAGTATCATAGCATTGACAACTCTAAAGTCCCTAAGAAGTCATATTTCTACTACTATTACAAACTGTCACCAGAGATCAAATTTACTGCAGGTTCAGCCTGTGCTATTCACTATCCAAATCCTGTAGCATAGGGTCAGGCAGGCCACATAGACACCATGGATTGCTTCTTAAGAAATTGCCAAATTGCATATTCTTTCCACAAAATCCTCACGAAGCAAGTTTCTCTAACTTTTCTATGTGCCTCACTATTTGCCTTTATTTGGAAGTGTCTGGTCTTTGGTGCTAATCCCTGTGAAGTGATGATGATTACATTGAGAAATTATTAGGATGGTAGAGCAAAGTGTGACACAATGTTTTGTAACCACAAGCCAAAAAAAAGGACATCGGATTCTAAAAGTGATCGCTTTCATTTCAACCCTTCAGCCTCCACTGCAGAGAGGTCCATTCCAACTGTTCAGATGAAGTTGAAAAGAGCCCGCCTCGCCGATGATCTCAATGAAAAGATTGCTCTCCGACCAGGGCCACTGGAGCTGGTGGAGAAGAACATACTCCCAGTAGATTCTGCCGTGAAAGAAGCCATAAAAGGTAGTTCGAACAAATCGCACGCCTGTCCCTGGATGCTCAAAGGCAACTAAAGCTCAACACGCTAGGGACTTTGGGGTAGTGGCCTTTCACTGGACAAAAGCCATGCCAAGGGTCCTCTCCCAACATACACCCCTGAACATTTCTTCTTAGGGTTGGGGAAGGAACTCGGTCACAAACACTCCAAGATCAGGTCAACGCAGGCCAACTTTGCTTTACTCAGACAGGTTGACAACCTAACTGGATGTATTCCTCAAAACAGGTCCCCTACCTGGTTGCATGCTTAGGAGCCATGGTCACAGTCCTCTTTAACTCCCTGTTTTAAAGAGGGGGTGGACCAGTCCAGTGGAGAGAGCACTAGCCCTGAACCAGAACACCTGGATTTCAAGCCCAGTTTGGCTGCCATGTTGCCGGGGCTTACCCAAGTGACCAAGATGGAGATAACCGTACCAGGCTCATGGGAGTGAGGTTCATTTTTACACAGTGCATGTGAATATGCTGTGCTCCATGGGGTCAAAGTTCCAATACTCAAGGAAGAGACATAGACATTAATGCTGTCATAAACTGAGTAAAATCATTTTGTAGACCTCTTAAACATTGGCACCAAGTGGACCCCAAAATCCTTCGAGTGATGAATTCATGTGGGGGACTTGAAGTGAAACCTGGGGAAACAGTGGTAGAAGGAGAAAGGGGGGCTAAAGAGTCATATGGGTAGACTGACTTTCTTCCAATCAGGCCCACAAACAATTGTGAGAACTCCTGGTACCTATTATTTAGTAATATATATTTGTTTCAATATGTTGTCTCCAGGTCTGTATAAGGGCATTTTTAATCAAAAACTAAGTTTATTATGAAACTTATCATCAGGTTTATCCATATTCTGAAATTTCTCTCTCTCTCATGCATTCAGAGGCCACGTAAATGGATACATTTGGAATCTGTATTCATTTAAAAATATTTAACTGTGGGTAAATGGCCGAAAGATCAATAGAGGGAAGGGAGCAGGGGGTGGGGAAAGGGAAGGGGAAGGAGAGGTATTGGGGTTTGAATTAGAACAGGATATATTTCATGCTTCTTATTATTATGTCGAAATGGATTCTACCCTCATGTGTAACTAAAAACAACCAAAAAGAAAATATCAACTCTGAGAAAGTGAATTGACTCCTATCTCGGTGCCCACTTATATATCCCATTGTGATTTTCTCTATTCCTCACCCTCTCCCTCCACACTAAATATCTTCTGCCTTTGAACTTGGCCTAGAGTGCTCAAGTGCTCTCTCTCCATCATTACTCCAATAGGATGGATGTCAGAGCCGGAGAAAGTCTCCCTCAGGCAATCTCTTATCATTTCTTAAAACATTCTATTGCAAGCTCTTGAGTTTATTTTTTTATAATTTTTATATGATAGGCAACAGATCTTAATTAAATCTGCATTCTTTGGTTTACAGGGAGACTCTATTTTTCCATGCGATTGTATGTCGTTGCTGATTTGTGGCTTTCTTCTTCCTGCTGGGCGTATTCCTCCTTACTGCTTTGTGTGTGCTATTTATATAGGGGGAAGTCCTCCCCATCTGTCACAGGCACTGTCCATCTTTATACCAGTCTGTCCTTTGCCTTTTGATTTTGTGTACAGTGGTTTAACCTATGGCGATTTTAGATTTTTGTATAGTTAAATCTATTCTAGAAACTACAAAGAAAAAGAGTATAGTTTCATAGTTTGCATATAGTTTATTCACCATGATTATCTTCTCAAAGTATTTCATTTTACATTTAAATCCTGAATGCATCTGAAATTTTATTTAAAGTGCTTAGTTTAATTTAATAGTCTAATTTTATTTTTTCCCACAATTTTATAATGTATTTGACAATTCGTCTTGATATCTATTTTTGAAATCTTCCTTACAGTGCTCTAAGTTTCCTAATGTTCCTTGGATATTGTCAAAGTGGTTTGTTTATTTATTTTTTCCTTCTTTGGTACACGGGATTGAACTCAGGGGCAATTAACTACTGAGCCACATCCCCAGCCCTTTTTTAATTTTATTTAGAGAGAGGATCTCCCTAAATTGCTTAGAACCTTGTTAAGTTACTAAGGCTGGCTTTGAGCTTGAGACCCTCAAGGTTTGAAATTACAAGTGTGTACTACCATACCAAGCTCAGAAGTGTATTTTAGATACAAATTGGAATCTTTTTTTCATACACCAACTTTAATCCCGTTAGAATTTTTCTTGGGATTGCAATGAATTTAGAGGCTAATTTATGATGAACTCACATATTTAAAACATTCTAATTCTTCCAAGGCAGAATTATAGCATCCCTCTCCACTTATTCAATTTTTTAAAATTTCTCTTAGCAAAGCTTGTTCTTGTTTTAAATGAAGTCACATGGATTATTGTTAACATATGGAAAACCTATTAATTTTGCACATTTATTTTGTAACTGAGTACCTATAAGATTTTCTTAATAGTTCCAATAGTTTCTCAGTTAATCACATTGTTTAGGTTCACAAACATGTATCTACAAATAACATAAATTTATTTCCTGCTTCTTTGTTTTTTGTCATATTGGTGCCTTGGCTGGTACTTGAAAAGCAATATCATGATACTAGCATGCTATATAATTAACATCATTTAAAAAGTGTGTATGGAATATTTATGACATGTTATATATAATTTTCACATATTTATCAATCCTTTATACCACATATTAGTATTTGCAAGCTATTTAAATTTTATATAAATTACATATATTATATAGTGTAACATGCTATATGAATCAAATACTATATTTTATTAAATCCATAATATCAACATCATATATAAATGTCCAACTTAATTATAAAATTAAGCATGTGACATATAAAGGACATATAATTTATATATGCAATAAATAATATGTTAATATATAATACAATTTAATAATTATGGATATGTTACATAGTAGGATACTATTATTATAGGTATGTTTACAGTGCATCAGAAGCAATATATCTTGCTGTATAATTTTTTGTTATGTTATACTGATGATGACATATTTTCATTTTTTTAAAAATGGGAACGTTCATAGTCCTTCATTTCTATATGTGATATTAGCTTTTGGTGTAGGCTGGATATTCTTTGGAAGTCTTTTTCTATTCCTATTCTAGTAAGAATAGTTTACAAGATGAATATCAAGGTTGCTAAATGCTTTCAAAACATAAAAAGATGATGGTGTGGATTTCTTCTTTAACCTAGCCGTATGGTTTTGGCCACCTTTCCAACTGTCCTGAAATTTCTGGAAACAATTTTTCATGAATTTTGTTTTTAGAATTTGCTAGTGTTTTATTTGGGATTTCCCATCTATGTCATCATTAGTTGGAATCTCATGAGCTGCAAAACAAACCAAAAAACTTCTTAACAAGAGAAGTTTATTTCTTGTTCCTAAACCGTCCAGGGAAGGTCCTTCTCCATGACAAGTCCTCTGTGGAAGATTCCTTCCATCATGTTTCCCCACGGTGGAGAGAATAAGCTCTCTTGAAGACCAGATAGTAAATGCTTTAGGCTGTGTCTGTCACAACTGCTCTGCGGTTGTAGTGTGAAAGTAGCCATAGCAATAAGTAAACAAATGGGCATGGCTGGATTCCAGTAAGACTCCATTTACAAAAACAGGCAGCAAGCCCACAGGCCACAGTTTTCCTGCCCTAGAGTCTCCCCATCCTCTGATTCTTGCCAGTGAAGGAGGACGGGGCGGGGGTGGGGAGGGGGAAGAAAGATGGAGAAGCCCCTCACGAACTTAAAAAGCCTCTTCCTGGAAATGAACTCATCACTTCTGCTCACATTCTACTGTGAGAACAGTACACATGGCTGAGAAAGGTATCCCCTGACTGGGCAGCCACTTCTCAGCAATAGCTCTATACTACAGAAGGGGGAGCATAAATTTTGACAAATAGCCAACGCTGTTTGTCACAATATTCATAAATAATATTGCTCTAGGTTGCTTTTCTATTTCTCAGATTTAAGTACCAAAGCTCTGCAGATTTTCCTTCACTGATGAGAGGGTCATGTCCCAATAAACCCATCCAAAATCAAAGCTATCATAAATCGGAACTGCATAAGCTATGGAGCATCCTAGCTTAGCAACACCCAGTATAGGGTACCGGTCATTTCCCCTGAAGATGGTGTGACTGACGGGAGCTGCGGCTCGTTAATGCTGCCCACCTTCATGACAGAGTATCCCATGTCTGTCACTAACCTGGGAAAAGACAAAACTTCAAAATTCAAAGTCAAGTTTCTTCTGGATGCCTATTGCTTTTGCATCTTTTTTTTTTTTTTTTAAAAAGAGGGGTGAGAGAGGGAGGGAGAGAGAGAGAGAGAGAGAGAGAGAGAGAGAGAATTTTTTTTAATATTTATTTTTTAGTTTTCGGCGGACACAACATCTTTGTTTGTATGTGGTGCTGAGGATCGAACCCGGGCCACACGCATGCCAGGCGAGCGCGCTACCGCTTGAGCCACATCCCCAGCCCCATGCATCTTTATCAAGCTGAAAAGTCATGAGTGGAACCATCATACATATAGGACCTTCTATGTGTAGTGTCACAAAAGAATTTATAATTTTTTATATAGTTTTTTTCATATTTTTTCCACAGGCTGGAAATTTTAGATATTACCTCAATAATCAGTTGTTTGAAAACATTGCTTTTTAACACCATAGGGGCCCTGATCCTTTCTTATGGGTATTTTTTATAACTTTTCTTTAGCTTTTATCATAATGATTTGTGTATACCAAAAGGAGAGGAATGGATGAACAGAGAAGTCAAGCCCTGGTTATATGATAAAAGCAGCATAAGGGGCTGGGATTGTGCCTCAGCGGTAGAGCATTCGCCTAGCATGTGCGAGACCCTGGGTTCGATCCTCAGCACCGCATAAAAATAAATAAAATAAAGGTATGGCATCTAAATGCAACTAAAAAAATAAATATTTTTTTTAAATCAGCTTAAATTGTATCTTAAAAATCAGAGAGAGGTTCAA